CAGCATTATTTTAAGGACCGCACCTGCTGCCTGTGAAATATTTTGTTCAGAGCTGACTGGAAATGTTTTAACATGGTTGCTTGGTTGAGATACATTGTACACTGTAGCTGGAACATTTCGCAAAAACGTGTTGGTTTCTGTGAAAATGGAGATCTGCTTCAGAGTCGAAATCTTCAAGAGAGGAAGATCTGCAGTTTGACTTTTTGTACTGTATGTGCATTTTTGACACAATTTTGTTCTGTAAAAATATTTTCATATGAGTGCAGGACAGAAACTTAAGGAGTTGACTCACAGTTCTGTATTGTTACCTCTTGGTCTTAATTTTGGTTGGCTACTTCCCTTACAAGAACAGTTAGTATTTCATGCTTCCACCTCTGATTAAGATTTCATTTGCTCTGCTGTTTGCAAGCAGCATGTTAACATGAACAACAGCCGAACAAGAGCTTTGTAGTTCATCTCAGCCTTGGTTAATGCCTTTCTAAACATGACATGAAAATTACCAGCAGATGTTCATCTGTCTTTGGCTAGCAAACTTTACATCCCAAATTCATACTGCTGTTTAATGACTTCAAATAATAAATCATGTAATATCAGTCAATTGAAACAAATTCTTCCATGAAATAGTTTGATGAACTTTCTGCTTCTGGGTTTTATTCTATTTATATGTCAAAAAAAGAGAAATATCTGCAATATAGATGCCTCACAAAAAACGGGCAAACATTTTGTACCCTGTCAGTCTAGATACAAAAGGGTTCTCCCTTTAACATTTCTCACCATACACATGCCTCGGAATCAACCTGTTCTGCTTCATGAGGGCCTGGGGATTCCTTTCTCCCACTGCTGCAACCACGTCCTTTTCAGTCTTTCATGAACATTCACCTTCCTCCAAAACACAAAGAAGAAATCATGCTCCAAATCAGCATTCCTCATGATTAGGTCCAAATCATCTTTAAATCTGTTTGGGTTTTTTTTCCCTGCTCCCTGCTTTGATTCCTGCTAGGATCCTGCTCACCACTTCTTGCAGTGGGATGCCCGAGCTCCAGGTATTCCTGGCTCTGACAGATGCCAGCGGGATTTTCAGCACTGCAAAAGCAGGACCTTTTCCCATGTTTTCCACTTTACTTGCAGATTCCCCTTCAACCAAGCTGATGTGACCCACTGCATTGTCATCCTTTCTGAAAACAAAGCTTGTGAACCCCACCGTGCTCCTACTATCCTATTATGCACAATGACACTACTGAAAAAATAGGGAATTAACAAGGACTGAATCAAGCTGCACCATTCTCTTGCACTACTTTTCATTACTGCCCTTTATAGTTAAGTCACGCTCTTATCCTATGAAGATTCATACGTTATGTGTGTTTTTATAAAGAGTCAATAGTATGAATATGAATACACTAGGGACTTAGGCTTATTCTAAATAATACTCTTCAAATACAACAAACAGAACCAGATTACTTACCTAAAAATGGATTTAATTGTACTTTAAAAATCACAAGCATGATTAAGTCTATTGTTAAAATAAGAACGAATGATTAAATAATGAGCATCGAAAATTATCCTAAAGCTCTGTTTGGTAGCAGAAAAAAAGTTTTCTTTTCATGATTTTCATCTATTTCTGATCCAGGTAGAGCCAGAAGCAAAAATGCAAAACACTCTGAAGTTGACTTTCTCCTTACAGTTATGGTTCAGTATTGAAGAATGATGAAATTCAGACACTGGTGAAAAGCTTTGGATAAACATAAGACTGTCACTACTTAGAAGACTAACCTTAGGAATTTTTTTGACAATTCAGATTATTTGCAGGCCATTAACATTTCTAAAATGTTTTCCAAAACTTTGAATGTGCCACATGTTAGCTGTTTGAACCATATACATATGGCTGGGACTTAAGCAAGTGGAAATCCTGTGAATAAAACAAGATCAGTTGAAAAATGCAAACAGAAAGAGAGAGAAGGATATAATTTTTAACATATTTGTCTTACAGATGACAAAAATTATTTTGACACAAATGGAGCCAAGGTAAAAATCATTTTTTCTGGAATTTTTGATAGGTTTTAGCTGCTACTTCCAGTTTATTCAGTGGTAGCTATGCTTTTTCATTATTAACTTCTGCACTTTACAGTATGTCAGTCAGTAAGATTTTCTTCTGTTGCTTTTAGTGCTGTGTGAATGAATGATAGGAACTGCCACAAATTGTCAGTCAACTGTGGAACAAGACAGAAAATATAAAATATAGGTCTGTGTCCAGTAAAAACATGCAGGTGTTGCAGAAATAAAATGGCATGTGATGGGTCTAATTAGGCAACAAATGGCATCTGGATATATTGTCATATTCTTTTAAGAGTGGTAGCTGTACTTGGAATAATAGTTTTCAAGCTCTGGAAATACCTGTACTACATCAGAGAGATTAATTCAGCTATGCAATTAAGGATCCCTTTTCTCCTTTTAATACAATTTGTATTTTAGGCATGGGGGTCCTTAAACCAGAAGTTAAGGTCTTCAGATAAAGTTTGTAGAAAGCATTGTTAACTGCTGCATTTTAGAGGACAGTGCATACTTTTTTGTTTTGGCAACAAAATAAGCTCTTACTGTTTGGTTTGTTTTGGTTTGATTTTTTTTTTTCCCCCTTGTTGCTGCTGAATGAATTGTTTTTAGTGATTTGTACAGGGAGTTGTGAATAGGGAAGCTAAAACAACAGATGCATGGAGCAGGAAAAAGAATGTGCTGGCTAATGAGCAAAAGGGACCTACCAATTACTTAGGAGCATAAAATCTTTCCTCTGACGGCAGTTTTTGCTCTGTTAGATCTACAATAGCACGTACAATGTTCCCATGGTTCTGATTGCACTAGGCATTTAAATTTCACTTACGACATGATTCCTAGCTGTTTTAGACTTAATTGCACCTAACTAAACCATAAAAATTGGGCCTTTGGAAAGTGTAGTCTACAGTATAATAGGAGAGCTATGCCTTCTGCGGGGAAAAAGTTGTTTCCAACTTGTGTAGGCATTTACGCTAATACTGTCAAATGTAAACTGAATGTAACTGTTTAAATTTCAGACAAAAAGGTCTTATTCTGAATCTGTCCTCTGGTCTCGGTACTTTCCCTTGTCCATTATACACAATGTACTCAGCTTCTAAGGTAAGTCATTCACATTGCTTTGTAAAGAAATCCCCATCAAGTGTTCACCGAAGTGTTTGTATCAGCAATACAGGGCCAGGTATTCAGGACATAAATCAGCATTGCTCCACTGAAATAATTAAGAGATGTGAATGAGCACTAGCTGAGAACTAAGAATAAGTGAAACTATGTAAATGAAATCAGTTGAAGGTATGTCTGATCATCAGAACATTTATTCCTTTGATTAAATAGTATTATACCAGTGGTCACAATCTGTCCTTGTTCCAGCAAGTGATTTTTACCAGGCTGGCTTAGCTAGTTTACACAAAACCGTAGATGCACAAAAAGATTTTGCTTATGGAACCAAGAATAAAATTCCTGGTAGGTGGGTGGTGAGTTGACTGACTTCATAGATTTCACTTCGAAATTTTGCTCTGAATTAAAACCCCAGAGCTCATAAAAATGAGGAGTGAATGATTTTTATTGAAACTCCAAAAGCAACTTGCTCAGCTCAGGTTTGCTCCAAATTAAAAATTCTAACAATATTTGCTTGAACATAACTAAAGTTCAGCTTGGTAAGAAAAAACTAGTTATTCTTGGTAAGAAATTCTAGGTTTCCATTTCCTTTTTCTCTTTTTAACATAAGTTCCTCATTACTCAAAACTTGAACTACATTCAAACCAGCCAATTTTAGTTCCTTAAAGAAGTTTGGTTAACATTATTTCAAAGTGATATGGTACATTGGTTGTATTGTTTTGACTGTTTTCATACTTGGATATCTTTTACCTTTGTTTCTTTTTAAATGGACTTTTTTTGTAGTGCCCTGAAAGGAAACTATTTTACTTGTCAGCATATTGATGTTTCATGCAATATCATGACACTATTGGTGTTTAAATTGTAGGACCTGTCAAATGATGGCTTTGAAACACTGTCATTTTTATTCCTTAGTAGGACTTTTATATTTCTAATTGTAGAGGAGTGATCCAATTGTCAAGTTTCTGAATATTTCTCAAAGATCTAACACCTAAAATCAGTCTTAAAAGAAACTCAACTTTTACACAAAGAAGTTAGTACATGTGTACTCTTCATGGTGTGGAGAAAAACTTAGAAAGATAAACCCTAAAGGTTGAAGCTATAAAAACCCCCAAATGCCCAAATACATGACTTTGAAAATATTTGTAGGCTATGCTAATAGGTATATACTGAAGGTATGAGTTGTATTTCAATCCCCTTCTTATTGCAAGACAAATAACAGTGTAAGCCTTGAACTGGGAGGGTAGGTGTCAGCCAGAGAGGACAGCCACATGAAACAATAACTAGGATCAATGGGACTCAGGCATTTATATCTCTGCATTTTCACAAATGTGAGAAAGCTTTCAGTCCAGTCTGCAGTAGTACTTGTTTCATGTCTGGCTTGGGCCAATGTCAGGCTCCATCTTTTCTGGTGCAGATAAACAGTCAATCTTGCCATTGCTCATGTGCACCAGCAGAAAATGTATCTTGAGAAGTTCATTTGTATGTTTTTCACCACTGCACTGTGCCTTAGGTTGTATGATGCGTGGTCATTTTTATTAAGGACCTGTTTGCACATATTTGTGAGCGTATGTGAACTTACTTAGTTTCCTATGCTAATGTTATTTTGTTTTATTTTATTCTAGGCTTTTATAAGCACTTTCTCCAAAGCACTACAAGCAGAGTATAAGGCAAAGGGAATTATCATACAGGTGATGCTTTATCTTGCCATATTTGCCTTCATCTTAACAAATTCTTCAAAAATATCTGAGATGCCTAAATCTATATAGTGTAGCTGTCCTTGGTGAAGTGCTCGATGACCATATCAAAGATTTCTTTCTACCCTGTGTGCAGCTGTAGGCTTTTTTCCTTATACCACCATAGTACCATTACTTATTCCACATAGTGCCTTAATCCATTAAAAATATCTTCATAATTTGTCAGATGCTGTAGGATTCTGCAGAATGAATGCCCTTATCTAAATGCTAGATGACATTACACTGTTGTTATGATTTCTTATTTCAGGTAGTGGCTCCTTACGGTGTTTCTACTCCAATGACAATGTACCAAAAACCCGGTATTATTACCAAGACAGCAGAAGAGTTTGTTAGTGAATCACTGGATTATGTCACCTTTGGAGATGAGATTTTTGGATGCTTAGCCCATGAAATGCTGGTAATTGAATTTGATAGTGTGTAAATGGGTCCCAAAGGCTGAACCAAGGCTCTCTGGGCTCAGCAGGTTCTTTTGACTGATTTCAGAGACCTTAAGGTTGGACGTCATATGAGAAACAGTGAATAGGTTATTAAGGCTAATATGACACCAGTAAACTATGAATGGAGGAATACACAAGTAAAGCATAGTGGTATCAGCACAGTGTGGCTTTCTCCACTTTTGTGTCTTGAGCTGAGCTCAGTTTTCTATCTGGCTAGTCTTTCTATTTTCTCCAGCTGCCTGTTTTCATGACCCTATTAAGAATATTTCCGAGACCCCTACTCCTTTACAGAAATTGGCCAGAAGATTCAAAAGTCATTAGTGGGGAAGGGAAAGGACATAAAACCAGACTGTGCTATCACATAAACATCATTTTCTTAGGATACCAAGCTAACAGAATAAATATTTATACATGGCAGCTGGTAACAATGAGCATTTAATGAAAGTATAGGGGTGAGAACAGATTTGCTGAAAACTGAGAGGAATGAATATTTCCCTCTAAGAGAAACACACGTACTGAAAGTATAAAGTAAAAGCTTTTGGATTTTCTGGTTTCTACGACCTTTCTGAACACTCAGTTAATTTCTTTCAAGAGGTTCCTATAACCCTTTGCCTTTGTATTGTTTTTGCTTGATTATTCTGAAGGCATGTGTCCTGCAGTTCATCCCTTTATGGGTATTCCACAGCGACAGACTTCAAGAAGCGGTCCTGCATGCATTTACCGGTTATCTGAAGAAGAGGTGGAGGAATCCCTAACAGAGTCATTTTTTTCAGAAGATGTACAATGGGAAGCCCCAGCAGGATGCATTTTACTGTGTCTCTGTGTATGTGTGAATGTGGAACGAATCAAATCAGTTTGAGCCATAGCTCCATCCAAATCACCTATCAAGTGATAAGTTATTTGATCCAATGAATCTATTAAGCAAATTAATTCCTGTCCCTTTCCAAAGACCATGAAATTTGCTAGAGTAGTTCCAGTGACTTCTGTGGGCCTTAGATAGGGCCTAAGAAATTTATGTTACTATTTTAACATAAGCTTGGAGGCCACAAATATTTACACTTATTTGATGTTCATGAATAAAACAGTAATTTGCTTTATTTCCAAACTTGTTCACAGTTTGTTTTGATGCTTTCAGTGAGTGTTTCGTGTCTTTGGTTTCTTCTGAAGAGTCAAGGAAATTTGCAAGAACAAAAGAAAGCTTTCAGGGTGTAAAGTACACACTGGACCTTTGAAAGTCTGCAACCATAAAAAATGTATTTGTCCAGAGCCTGTGAATGACTTCATCCTCTGAAATATCTGATATGGGTTGGAGGAGGCGGAAGCGTGGACAAAAGATAAGCACTAATTTTGCATTCCTGGATGAATCCAGAAGGCAAACCTTTTGATCGTAGATACCTATGAAAATCTTACTGTACGCTATTGAAAGGCATTTCAAGGACAACGCAATCATCAGGCACAGTCAACAGGGGTTCACAAAGGGAAAGTTCTGTTTAACTAAACTGGTATCCTTCTACAATGAGGTCACCCACCTAGTGGATGAAGGGAAGGTGGTGGAAGTAGTTTTTCTGCATTTTAGTAAGGCTTTTGAAACTGTCCCTCACAGCATCTTTCTGGACAAGTTGTCCAGCTGTGAGATAAGCAGGTACACTGCTCTGGGTGAAGAACTGGCTGAAGGGCAGGGCTCAGAGGGCTGTAGTGAATGGGGCTACATTTGGCTAGTGACCAGTCACCAGCAGTGTTCCTCGGGGCTCAATTCTACAGCCAGATCTGTTCAACATGTTTATCAATGACCTGGATGCAGAAGTTTAATGCACCATTAACAAACTTGCTGACAATGCCAAACTGGGAGGTGCTGTTGACTCTCTTGAGGGACAAGAGACTTGCAGAGGGATCTAGATAGATTGGAGCACTGAGCAATCATCAACAGCATGAAATTTAACAAGAACAAATGCCAGGTTCAGCACCTGGGATGGAGTAACACCAGGCACAAGTACAAACTGGGAGAGGAGCGGCTGCAGAAAGGGATCTGGGGGTGCTGGCTGGCAGCAGGCTCAGTGTGAGGCAGCAGTGTGCCCTGGCAGCCAGGAGGGCAAAACCCATCCTGGGGTGCATCACACCTGGAATAACCAGCTCATCAAAAGAGGCAATTATCCTGCTGTATTTAGCACTGGTGCAGCCTCACCTTGAGTACTGTGTGCAGTTCTGGGCCCCACAATTTAAGAAGGATGTTCAGGTCCTTGAATGCATCCAGAGGAGGGCAACAAAGCTGGTTGGAGGGCTGGAAGGCCTGTCCTGTGAGGAGAAGCTCAAACCCATTAGACTCTGGGTTTGTCTAATTTGGAGAAAATGAGGCTGAGGGGCAACATCATTGCTCTCTACAGCTTCCTGAGGAGGGGAAGTGGAGAGGGCAGTGCTAATCTCTTTTCCCTGAGATCCAGTGACAGAATGCTGCACGAGGTTCAGACTGGACATTAGGAAGCATTTCGTTACCAAGAGGGTGGTGAAACACTGGAACAGGCTTCCTAGAGAGGTGGTGGCTGCCCTATGCCTGTCAGTGCCTTAAAAAGAGGCATTTGGACAATGCCTTTAATAACATGTTTTAACTTTTGGTCAGCGCTGAAGTGGTGAGTCAGTTGGACTAGATGATCATTGTAGGTCCCTTCCACCTGACCTAGTCTAGTCTAGTCTATTTACTCAGATGTACTTCTGTTTGTTAAAAATCAGGAATTTTAATACATCTTCTCATTTTGCAGGTTTATTTGACTTCTGCATTCCAAAAAGTTTTTTTGTAAAGCTGCATTAAGATAGCAAAGACCTTATTAGTAAAAGTAAGTGTATGTTGATGGGTTTTGGCCAAATGTGAGGAAGAGTCTCTGGAATCTTTGCCACACAGGATGGAGAGGAATCACAAAAGGTATCCTACTCGCTCCAGAAATTCCTGTCTGCTGCATTCAAGCTAGTGACTTACATAGGTAACACCACATAGAATATAGCACCATAAGGTCCCAACTTTCTGCACTTGTCTCCTATACTTACTGATGTAATTCTCAAAAAGCACAACTAAGGATTGTGCTGAGATCTCTGAACTGAAATAATGAAAATTGTGATATGTAAAATTATATGTATCTTTCCCACAGCTTATCCCACAAGAGGATAAGCTCTAATTCATTCATTATGGCATGATTCTAGAATTTGGTGCTTTCAGGAAAACAGAAACAAAATCTCAATAAAATTATGTAAGTGTCAACATTATCATTTCTTTCTTGAGATGGGATTTTAAATGAGTCTTTTGACTGTGCTGAAAATTAAATCCTGTCTTTGAATAAAAAAAATATCTGAGCCATAGTCCTGAAGGACCATAGAAAAAGAGTTGAGATGTGGGAGTGCTGCAACGTTGCAGCAGCCATGTGCACTTGGGAGGTCTTTCTCCAGAATTCCCCTGAGACAAAATAGCTGCAATTACATCTGCAGGGCATGAAGCTTAATAAATATCACCTCTGGGCCCCAGAAGAAATTTTGCCTACTGGTTTTGATGGTCTGCAAGCAGAAGTTTTAACTTCCACTTTGTGTGTGTGTAAGTGTCTATTTCAACATAGGTTTGCTGGGTTTTAAGGAAGGAGTGAGGGACACATTTCTTTTTTGGTGCTCTTATCATCACTAGAAATAAAAGCAGCGGATAAAAATCAATTCTGTGCTTCAGGAGCAAAATTATCACTGACCCTTAGAGTATGAAATCAGTATTTTCAAAATGTTTTCTAATTAATTTCTCTTAGTTTTGTCTCATCATCAAACAATGACATTCTGTTCTTTGGAACAGGAATCCATTTCTTTCTATGAGTATAGAAAATTTTTAAAAACTCCTCTTGTGCTATATTCCCATCAAATCTCATAGTCTTTTTAATTAAATGGCTTCTATATTTCTCTATGGCCTCTTGTATTTCATGCCTTAATATAAAATAATTCATTCTTCAAATAAAACTTCTACTGAATATTGCCGCTTAATATAGAAAACATCTGGAAGTGAAAATGAGACATCTGTGCTGGACATTTCAGCATTGTTGGTTTCAAAAGCAAGGAATAGGAATGGTTTGTTCATCACTTCATAAAGACTGTGTTTTCAAGTGATTAAACTGTATTCTTCTAAGTGTGATGTTTGTGCAGCTGCACAGCAAATAAGTATGGGATATAATATATGATAAATATTACATGTGGGCCAAAAGCTGAAGTCCCTGGGAGAAGTGCACAATCAATAGGAGGCCTGAGCGTGGAATGCAGAGTTTGTGTTTGCCATCGGTATAAATGCTCATTTCTCCATGGATGCATATTTTCAAGCAGCACATTCTCAGATGCAGCATGAAATGCAGCACACGTCTCCTTCCCTTGCTTCTCCACTCCAAACATATACTGAGGCCTTGCCCACAGGCAGCTCTTTGCATGTTTGGTTTACACATGTGTGTAGTCCCAGCAGGGTGAAGCAACTCCTACTCTGCTAGAGTCACTTAGGGGATTCAGTGGCAGCAGCAGCAAACCCTGAGGGCTCCCTTGCCTGCAGCTTGTCATGATACCACATGGTTGATATAGTTATGCATGCCCTCATTTTCTCTCTGATTTTCTCATGAGTTACCTAACTCAGATTAGAGAACACCCTTTCACCCTCCTCATAATGATAAAAGATCCATATGTTTGCCACTGGAGAGAAATACCGTCTTATCTGACATACATGAACCCCAGTAACACAGAAGTAGCATTGGCACAGGCAGAGGTTAGTGAGCAATGGAGACTTGGTTTCCAAGGTTTACAAGTCCTGTAATCTAAGACAAGTGACATTTCCGTATTTCTTGTCTCATGTTTGTTTACGGTTGTGCATGCCTCGTGAGTCTTGCAGGCTGTTAGTGAAGTTGAGCAATCAGCTCAGCACAGATTTGTTTCTCTTGAGGAACAGGAGGATCTTGTTACTCAC